TTTTTTTTTTTTTTGCGGTACGCGGGCCTCTCACTGTTATGGCCTCTCCCGTTGCGGAGCACAGACTCCAGACGTGCAGGCTCAGCGGCTGTGGCTCACGGGCCCAGCTGCTCCGCGGCATGTGGGATCTTCCCGGACCGGGGCACGAACCCGTGTCCCCTGCATCGGCAGGCGGACTCTCAACCACTGCGCCACCAGGGAAGCCCCCTGTAATTTAATTATCTCGTTGGAGCCTCTCGTTACTGTTGACAAACTGGAGCCACTTGAACCTCACTTCCTGAAACTAGCTCTTCTGCTGTTGCCTTATATTTCTGTGCATGGAATGTTTTCTTCCCTGTGTTCTTGAGGGAAACAGCCAATTCATCTTCTTTGTCCCTTAAAGCCCACAGCACCAGGTTCTTCCCGAGCTGGTAAGACTGCAGATGAATAATTTCTTGTGTTTGGATTTTGTGTCGTTCCCCAGATGACTTTGTGGTGCAGAAGCCGGAGCTCAGCACCCCCTCCATTTGCCATGCCCCTGGGGGAGAGTACTTTGTGGAAGGAGAAACATGGCACATTGACACCTGTACTCAGTGCACCTGCCACAGCGGGCGGGTGCTGTGTGAGACAGAGGTGTGCCCACCACTGCTCTGCCAGAACCCCACACGCACCCAGGACTCCTGTTGCCCACAGTGTCCAGGTAACCGGCACCTCGGGATGCACTGGGCCGATGGGGAGGGGCTGCAGCCTGGGCGTTGTCATTCTGCAGGACCGGTGGGCTGGGTTGAGCCCCACGTGGGAGTGGGCCAGACCCAGTCACCAGTAACCCAGGCAGGAACATCTGGCAGGCAGCTTTCTAAATTCATTCCTTTCTATCAACCACATATTTATGCAGTCAATATGCCTTGCACCTGAGGTGACTTTGAACAACAGCAAAAAAAAAAATTGTTTCTTTCTACCCTTTTTTTCTTAACCCTACATCTCAGACTCAAGAGACAGTCCTGCTGTACCAGATTATTCCAGATGATTTTGCTAATGTGAAAAGTCATCTTTTGATAAATATGAAGAGCAATTATTGATGTGATTATTGATAAATAATTGCAATTATTTATTAATTATTTATTAATTATTTTATTATCTTATTATAAGAGCAATTATTGATAAATAATGTAAATAAAATCTTTGAAATATGTAAGGGTGGTGAAGATACTTTGAGAATGTTAAACAGAGGAATCACTAAAAGATGCATAATGCCCACCTTCTCAAATCTGTGATGATTAAGTTAAGATCCAGAAGTACTAAGTGACCAGCACTGCATATGTACAAAGAGTACTATTGTTTTCTTTTTTTTTTTTAGTTTTCAGATAATCTGGCCTTAGCAGGTGAATTTATGGTCATGAAACAAATATAATGAAATTTTGTCAGACTTTTAAACATAAGTTGCTGATTATGCAATGCAAGTAGCAATTCTAATTAACACTAGAATATATGACTTAATTTGTATATGTATAATTACCAAGTTGACGGCACACTAGTTTTGTTGTTGCTCAGTCTTTTATCTTTTCAACTTAAATCAGTAATCATTTACCTTCTAAATGTATGTTCTTAGAGCATTTCTGCTCAGGAAAACATGAGCCCTTGTATTTTATTACTTTTTTTACATTGGATTATCTAGTCAGCCAGCTAGAATCTATTGTTCTGTCATTATATAACCAGCATAGTTGATGTCCAGAATTCTTCCTGGGTTCACATTGATGATATTTTTTAATTGCATCAGAGGAAATTGTAGGAATAGCAACATTATTTGCTGTTGTCATCATGCCCTGCTGCTGAGGTATTATCATCTTAGTACAGAATCTTTGGCATAATTTTCAACCATGTTAATCTGAAAAGCTTAATTAGTGCAACGTCTTTTATAGTATAAGAAATAGTTCAGATGTATTGTTAGGATATACCCTAGTCCCTCCTATATTTTTGTCATCACTCTTTTACTTAGACACAAACCCTAATATTTCTCTGTTAATATATGAACATGATTATTCCCATCCTCCTGGTGGAAACTACTCTGAGTGGTCTCTTCACTGGTGATCATGAATTTATATCCATTTAATATATTCATTTTACAAGTGCTTATGGAATGCCTGAATTGAGCCATGGGGATCCCGGGGTTGATGAGAACAGCCACAACTCCTATCCTGTGGAGCAGTAATGCAAAAGAAGAGCTGAACAAGCCAGTACTCCACCTTTAAGTAAATCATGACAGAGTGAGAGGAGTGCCTGGAAAGGAAAGCATTAAGAGCACATGTAACCCAGGAAGCTTTAACTAAAGTGGGAAGTACCTCTGTTCCCACTTGTCTGAGGGTCTGAGGACAAATATAGGGGTTGGCCCAAATTTATTGGTGGGACACCTGACTGGACTCAGAGGTTCAGCCCAGGCAAAGGACAAGAGCTCCCTGGAAATGGGACTCCTGTGTGTGCCAAGGACTGATTTCTTAGAGCCAGGTCTCGAGGCCAGTGCGCATGAGCAGAGGCCCTGCCGATTCTAGCAGAGCAGAGACCTCCCCTCTAGAAACAGGAACAAGCACCCCATGTGTGCCTGGCTTTGGCTTCTCCTTTGTAAACGTATGCCTAGGTGACTCCTCCTTACTTTACATATAACTTGAGAGATACTTCAGCGATAGCCTTCATCTTAAATGTCAGGACTTTCTGTTTCCTAGATGAGTATTCTGAAGGTTACACTTAAAGCTGTGAATAAGTTTGTATCTAGAATGCTCTTGTATTTTAAAATCAGTCACCTACCCCATCATTGATCTTTCTGAACTTTCCATTCATAGTTGTGTTGCAGCGATAAAAAGATAAAAAGTCTTAAAATTCAAAACATTGATTTCTTCACACTGCAGTAAATTTCGACAGAAGCATTGATAAATGGAGTATTTCACATCTAGAAAAATACGATCTCTAACCTTAGGATACTTGCATCCTAAAGTTGTCCCAAAATGATATATATGTACAACTAGAAGAGTTGCATCCCTCATGGTGATTGTATCTCCTGGGTTGCCTTGTCGTTCCCTCTGTTCTTAACTCCCCCTCTCCTCTGGCCTGGTTTAGAGCAAGGTCTAGAAACCGAAGTGGGCTCATGAAGAAAGACTGAGCATCCCTGTAGGTGATGATACCTCACCAAGGTGAGAAAGGCAGAGAATAGAAAAGCACTTCTTTCTCTTTTCACACTTTTAAAATTCTCCGTCATTTTTGATTTTTTAAAGTTGGAAAGAAGCGTAGCACAGAATAGAGATCCCTCTTTTCTTCTTTTATTTCTCTGGTATAGAAATAAAAAGAATGAATGAACACCAGTGAAAGAACTGGTAAAAACAAAATAAGTGAGTTGATATTTAGAATCAGAGTGTAAAGAAGGGGTCTCATTTTTTCCTAAAAATGGAAAGAAAGGCCCAAAGAAGGAAGATAGCCTGGGCAAGATTCCCAAATGATATCTTCAGCCAGGGCTCAGAAGTCTCTTGCCCTGGGGGCTGAAGACCTGCAGACGCTGCATCTCAGCTGCAGCTCTCACTCCAGCTCTGCCGGCACATTCCCATGTCTCCTGGGGTCCCCTCCAGACTCTAGGATGTTCATTTCAGCTACTATTTCATGCTTCCTCTTCTAAGTTTTCAGACACCAAGTTAGGTGTTGCTTGCAAGAGCTAAGCTGTCATAACACACAGAAACCTCGTGGCAATTTGCAGAGCCTCGTGTAGACTAGTGTGAGTTGGCCTGATTTCCAGCCAAATCAAAAGTTAACATCAGTCAGTCTCTTAAAAAGAAATTATCCCTAGACATGGATGATCCAGAAAAGATGCCTGAGAAAGTAATCCCATTTTACCAACTTTAACTCATATGCATGTGATCTATGGAAACTTACCTAAAATTGGACCTGAAGCACATTTGGAACAATGGAACCAATGGCTGTTCTTTCACTGTTGCTGCCTTCAGGACTGGCAGTAGGAGATACAGTTACACGCTTTGGGTTCAGAGCCCAAAATAAAGCAATTGCCCCGCTTCTCAAAGAGACTCTTCTTGTCAAATCAAACTTGCTGGCTGTAGGGTGTATTCAGGAGGTGGATGGGAGGAAAATGGGACACTTAGAGCTTCTGCATCACTGTGATAGCTACATGTATATGAAAGAGCAGACTTCATGATGTTGACTATGAGAATGGATGATAATTCTTCTGACCCTGTATCCTTTGAGAAAATGGGATTCTCTTAGAGGTTTGCTGGGTGGGACCATCATGGCTTTTTCTAGACTCTCAAGTGCATAGGTGGTTGGGAGTGCTTTCTTGTCAGTGCAATTGCGACATTTCTAAACTAGGAAACCTCACTAACTAGTATTACGCTTTCCTTTGTTACATCCCAGTCAGCTTTCTGCTTGAGCTTACAGCTCTCAAATCAGTTCAGTGAATGGCAAGAACCAAAGAGATACCTGGGTTTTCTGGTGACGTTCTTTTCTGTTTCAGGTTGTTACTAGATCTGGAGACCCTCTGGTCTGTATTTATGTAGCAAAAACACACAAGTCTTGCAGATGATTTCTCTGTAGGTGCGTCCTCAGGAGTGATTTACATTTCCCATCATCTTTCAGTCATTAATGTGAATGCCTGAACATTGAAGTGTTACATACAGTTTGAAAATCTGTTTGGGTGTTAATTGGTTAGGACTGCATGCGGCTGCAAGTAAGAGAAAACCCAGCTACAGTTTTTTGTTGTTTTTTTTTGTGGTACGCGGGCCTCTCATTGTCACGGCCTCTCCCATTGCGGAGCACAGGCTCCGGATGCACAGGCTCAGCGGCCATGGCTCACGGGTCCAGCCACTCCACGGCATGTGGGATCTTCCTGGACCGGGGCACGAACCCGTGTCCCCTGCATCGGCAGGCGGACTCTCAACCACTGCGCCACCAGGGAAGCCCCTGAGTCCATTTTAAGGAGGCACACAAAGCCCTGGTGACCGAGCGTGCTTTGTATGGGACAGAGTGAAACTCACTGTGTTGCCCAGTGGGTGGCCTGCAGCATCTTTTTTTCTGCTGACCTTCTGTTCATTTTTCCAGATGAACCTCTCCAGCCTTCCTCATCCCATAATGACAGCGTGCCTAGTTACTGCAAAAATGATGAAGGGGATATATTCCTGGCAGCGGAGTCCTGGAAGCCGGATGTGTGTACCAGCTGTGTGTGCATAGATAGCGTGATTAGCTGTTACTCTGAGTCCTGCCCTTCAGTATCCTGTGAAAGACCTGTGTTGAGAAAAGGCCAGTGTTGTCCCTACTGCATAGGTAAGACCAAGAAAAAAAATCCTTCCTTTCTCCCAGTGGCCACTAAATCTACACTAACAGCCGTTTGCCTAGACCAGTTAATAATTTTGAAATCTGTTTTTCTGGTTGACGTGCCACATAGAATCAATGTAGTCACATCAGGCGGAGGAAAGACATGGAGGATGTGTTCCCAAGATAAAGCATATTAAGAATAAGAAATGCTCTCTGAGGATGTCGTGATGCTATAGCGCTCTCTCTCCTGGGCTCTTTTGCCATTTCAGAATTTTCAATATTGGAACTCTTCCTTTACCCTGTTACTGACCGTGGTCCTTTTGTCCACAGAGAAACACCATGTCCCATATCAGGGTACACTTAGTGCCTAAGCTTGCCACTGCCTTGAGATCAGCTAAATACCAGATACTAATTTTAATCCCCCAGTTACTCCTCTGTCTGCTAACACTTAATTGATTCTATTTAAACCATGTGGTTGTCCATGTGGAGGGCTTAGGGACACAGAGTTAGGCCTGAGTAACTGACAGAGCCCTCTCCTTCATGTGACCCACGGGGATACATCTTGTGAGCAGAGGACATATGTATATCAGCCCCTGACGTCTATACCAAAACTGGTCCTATGGACACAAGCCAGATGCCGTTCTGGAGTCCAGAAGGCGAGGCTCAGACAGCTGGCAGCTCTAATACAGGCACAGTCCCTGCTCCCAAGGCTCTCACTCTCTTTGATTGCTTTTGTTTCAAGTAAAGCTCATAAAGTCAAGTGAAAGGCAATGACATATCTCAGTCCAGTTGTGAACCTGTAATCAGAGTTAGCAGGTGAAAAATTAGGCAAGCTGTATTAATGACAGGCATCATGCAGTTTATTTTTGAAGATTTTTGCGTGCTTCGTAGATGCAAGTCAGTGCATATATTTGGGGTGATGCCTGAGGAGGAGGAGAAATCCTCTGGCCACAGGGCTTTGTAAGAGTCCCCATAGATGGGTCGATAAATGGCGCTCAGGTGCACATTGGCCACCATTCAAGCTTATCAGGACAGCTCCTCTGGCCACTCTGTGGGGCCACTTCCTCTGAAGACTTATTCTACACACTGATATACAAGAGATGGGAAGATTTTTAAAGCATAATTTCTGGTCTCAAGAATTTTACAGAGCTTGAGTTTCTCAATGTAATGGTCAGGGAATATTAAAAATTATGTGTGAAAGATGGATTCTCTTCTTTTAATAGGGTGGCTGTCTATCCAATTTATTCTTTAAACCATGCTTTTGTGAGTGAAGTGGGGACTGTTAATAATTATGCTGGGACCATGGCTGTAGGCCAGGAGTGTCCCTAGTAAATCTGCACCTCTTAGTGACTGGAGCGTTGGGTCTGCTGTAATACCCGTAATCTTTGTAGCTCCTAAATGGAGCCAAAAATGTATCAAGGCGTCCACCCAACTTATTGCTACGTGTCTTCTCAGAGAGCTGACCAACAGTCATCTGGAAAGTGGCATAGCCCTTGGTGAGACCTGAATGAAAGGTGTAACCGGGCCACTATTTCAGACAGGGTGTTGGTGGATGGAGGGGGAAATGTCCAGCCAGGACCACTGTATTTAAATACCAAAACTTCAGTCCTAAAGGAAACAGTTTATAAATCAACCAGGGGCACTTGGATCACAGTTGGAAACTAGGGCCCAGGAGGCCTGAGAATTCTATTACCTTCAGAGGAAAAACCCAGCAGTGAATTTCTTGTGTGTTGAAAACACTCAAATTTAATTTCTTTTAGATTAAAAAAAGTTCCTGTTGTGTTTTGCTACTTAATTGGTAAATATGTGATTAGTAAATTACTCAGCTAGTAAATTTGTTTCCATGTGATAACAGTAAATCACTTCTCTTTCTCACAAAACCAATTTAACAAAACCAAACTTATGGAAAGAAGCCTGCATAGCATAGTATTCTGTGTTGTATTTTTTTTTTTCTTTTGCCTGCATATTTTCCTATTCCAATTCCTGCATTATTTAGTCCAGCAGTCCCCAACCTTTTGGCCACCAGGAACAGTTTCGTGGAAGACAGTTTTTCCGTGGAGGGTGGTAGAGTTGTTTCAGGCTGGTAGCGTGAGCGACGGGAGCGGCAGATGAAGTTTCACTCACTCACCGGCCGCTCACCTCCTGCTGTGCGGCCTGGTTCCTAACAGGCCTCAGGCTGGTAGTGGTTGCAGCCCGGGGGCTGGGAACCCCTGATTTAGACCATGCATTCATCTTTAGTGTGGGGAAGAAAATACCAATTTGGCCCCAATTTGTGATTTTGATTTCAAGTTAGATTGTAAGTACTTTCACTAAATTGTGGTTCATATGAGCTCATAATGATAGAGTGGAAATTTGATTTCTGTTACATCTCCCTCCACAACTACTACCCCCTCCCCTTGACACAAGTATAACTGTACTGTATAAACCTATGACGTATCTTCTGGGAAACGTATCCGGGAGTCTTAGCATTTGATGCGTGATGCTGTGTGCTGTTGTCCTTGCATTCATCCTAGTGCTTCATACACGTTTTCTTACTGAAGTAGTCATTAGGAGCCTCTATATGCATCATACTTTTCTGCAAGTAGCAAGGACCAGGTTATGTCCAAGCATATGAAGTCAAGTTCAGTTCATGACTGTGATATGGGGAGTTTATGACCCTCCAGTTTGCTCCCATGGCCTCTCCAGGCTTATTCTCTTGTCAGCTTCCCATCAGTGTGGTCCCTCTGTAAGGGCACCAAGCCCGGGCAGCCCTAGTACACCTGCAGGCAGTTACTGGCGATGCCCCGGTGGCAAAGCCTGCATCCCCATCCAGATCACCTAGCAAAGGAAGAAGGTAGGAAGGCCGTCATTCTGCATGTCATAAAGCCCCCAGTTGCTTCTCAGCAGGCATCGAGGACCAGTGCTTTCATTGTCTCCTGTTTTAGCTTTTCTCAGTTTGAACCCAGCTCCTTATTAACCCAGATAACCTGTTCCCGGGGTCACATGTGCCTCCTCCAAGCCTACAGTGCCGACCTCACCGTGGCTGCAGGTCTCCTCCCTGGGGGAGTGTTCTCCCTAATCAGTCACATGTGGATCTCTAAAAACCTCAAACCTGCCTTTAATCTGGCTGCTTCTTTAGTGCTAAAACCCCTGAAGAAAAGTGTGCTTGCTTTCACCTTGTGAAGTAACCTGTTTTCTTACCACAAGAGAATTGAAAAGGGTGATCCTACTAAAAGTAGTGTAATTACGAATGTTTGTGTTCCTTTCAGATAAATTATCAAGTCACTAAAGTGCAATGATAATGCTTCTCTTCTGGTGTGTGAAAGCCTCATATTATGTGCGCTACTTTAATAGAATGTGTAATACAGACATAATTAATAGGATTGATGATTAATTTTGAAAAGTGAACAGCTTTGTCTAATTACTTATAATACCCATCATTAGGGAATTCATCCTTGTCCTAGAAGGAAACTAAGTAGTAATTACCCAATCATTTTAATGGAACATCTTCTGATTCCCTAATTTTTTAATATTCCAGCTTCCTACACAAATACACACAAACTTAGATTTTATTTTCATAGGCTTTTTGACTGTAATGATGGCTTAAAGCAAGGGGAACAAGAATCAAGAGATGACTTGAATGTAGATCGGGGCGGGGGCGGGGGGGGGGGGGGATTAAAAGGCCTGGTGGGAATTCTAATGTGGGACAGCAGATTTGATATG